CTCTCCCTCATCTCTTTCTCACTTTCTCCTTCACTAACTACACACCCTCAGAAGACGTTGCTATTAATAATGGGGATCCACATGACAATACAGTGATAATGAAGGAAACTACATCGACTGATGCATGAGGTTCCATCAGAGAAGAAGACGTAGTCATTGGAATGGTTGGAATCTCTGGAATGGAAGGACTCATTGAGCTCGCTTGAGAGTCAATACCCATTTCATTGATTAAATGTACGAGGTTAAGAAGTTGATACTCGTTGAATCGATTCTCTAGTTTGATCCCCAAAGACTCCATCTCCATAACCACGACTGAGATTAGTTTTTTAGAGATCTGATCGGACCTTGAACAATCACCGGACAATCACTTGCAATGGCAGAGTCGATGAGATGGACTGTCGACAAAACGCAAAAAAAATCAAAACGTATAGCCATAGATTGCACGTGTAGAGTCGCGATGGGTGGTTGGATTTTGTGAATGGGGAGCAACAAAAAACTCTGTTGAAGAAGAACAAGATGGATGATTTTAGTTTTATTTCGTCTTTTAATTAAAAAATCATATTCATTATGGAAACCTAAAATTACGATGTTAATGTGGGTGACACATCAGCTTCAAATGTAGATGTGACATAAGCAATCGGTTTTCAACGGTGAAAGGGACCATTTAAACCGATCAACACGCACTTTATGACCCTAAAAAGCAAAAAATTAAGTTTAGGGATCATTTAAACTAAAACTAGTAAGTTGGTTGGGCTACTATGACATTTACCCTTTATACTAACCAAACTTGTTTATTTGTTTATTTATTTATTTTATTTTATTATTATTTTTTGTGTGTGTATTAAATATAATTGTAATGATATGATAGAAAAGAAGTAGAAAAAAACAAACCATGCTCGTTAGACAAAATGAAAATGTGAAAAGAAGATAGAGATAAAAGAAAAAGTATTAAAAAAATAAAAAGACTGTTTGAAAATTTTAATTTCCAAAAATGATGGTTATATATATATGACAACTTCTTCATATCATTGTAGATTTTATAATTATGTATATATTCTTGTAAATTTTCAAATTATATATATATATATATATATATATATATATATATATATATATATATATATATATATATATATATACCTTTGCTATTTTATAAAAGAAATCTCACTATTTCTAAAAATAGAATAAATATAATAATATTATTTTTTTAAGACGTTCAAATCATTAAGCTAATAGTACAAGTAGTCATCAATAAAATATTATTAAATTTTAACATGTGTTTTGAATCCTTATATTTCTCAACAAATTGAGTAAATTACACGAATAATCCCTATGGTTTAGGGTAATTTGCGCGTTTGATCCCTAACTTATTTTTTTAACTCGGAAGGTCTCTAGTGTTTGTTTTTGTTATGCGCTTGGTCCCTATCTTACCTAAAAAGACTATTATGCCCTTGACTTTTTTAATTTATTTAAATAAACACACTCCTAATCCCACCCCCTCACCTTACCTCACTTACCCCATCATTTTTTCCTCTTTAAATAATAGTCTTTTTAGATAAGACAGTGACCAAACGCATAACAAAAATAAACAGTAGGGATCAAATGCGTAACAAAAACAAACCATAAAGATTTTCCGAGTTAAAAAAATAAGTTAGGGACCAAGCACGCAAATTACCCCAAACCATTGGGACCATTCGTGTAATTTACTCCAACAAATTCTATCCCCTTCCCTGAATTTCGGATAATTCAAAATTTGAAACCATCAGAAAATACATGTTGATTCAAATATCCTTCCTGCAGATGGCTCTTTCTTAACAAGTTTTTATTTTAATCCTTACTTGTAATTGATTTCATCATTTTTAACTTTTTGTATTTTTATCTTATAAATATATTGGATGAAGGCTTTATTATATCATGTTTGTTTCTAAAAAGGTTTTTACTATGTTTCTTTAATGTGTTGGCTTTACAGGTTCAAAGAACTCAACCAAGAGTGCCAGTTAGAGCATTGTATTATCATTAGTTTGTATATTTTGGTATCTTACTTTTGCAATAAATAACGGTTAAACACAAGATTTGACATGATTAAGGTAGTTTGTATATTTTTCATCTTGTTTAGTCTAAAAATGAAACATTTTTTTCATCATTGGTCCTTATAATATCAAGTTTCATCAAATGGACTTCCTGATTACGGTGATTATTGTCCTTATTATAAGGTTCTATATAGATTTTGTTCAATATTTTAACGTTTCGAGAACCTAAATCAATATGAATCCTTGAATTACATACCATCGTTGAAAATGTTTTAATTTGTGACTAGTGGCGGAGCCAGGTTCAAAGTAAAGGGGTATCCCAAAAAAATTTCGGATGGCCTAATTTTTTTTTCGAGGTACTTCGGTTTCAGTTTTAAACCTAAACCTTAATTGAATCCTTAAATAACCTAAAGTCATATTATATAAACATGAAGTCGAAGTATCTTTTAATACTTGAAGCGATGTGGGAATAAAAGTAGATATCAAATGAAGAATCAAGATAACAAGTTAATATACTAGACGAAATTGGCTAAATTTACATGTGTTTGGCGATGTGGGATAGATTAGCTGGGAAAATAAAAATAAAAGGTAAACAAAGAAAATGTAAGGAGGGAGATTTGATCCTTAGACCTCTATTTCAATATGCTAGCGCCTTATCCAGCAGACCACATGTTTGTTTGGGTTTATAAGTGAAGGGAAACATATATATACACTATGTAAAACGAAATTTTGCTAAAAAGAATTACACTACCGAAATTTTTTTTGAGGGGTATCCCGGGCTACCCCGGGATCTACATTGGATCCGCCCATGTTTGTGACCAAATGTGGTTTAAAATCACAATGAACAAGTTGACACCTGAGTATTTTGGCCTTCTCAAAGGCCTATTTATCGACTTTTGAATCACAACACCTGATATTCTAAAGGTTTATTTTTATAAATTATTATTTATATATTTTAGCTTTTTACTTAGTAGGACATAAAATTAATAAATGAATTAAGGAAAACGAAAAAAAAAGAGGATGATAAACAGTACAAGTGGTTTGGATATATATAAATGGAAGTAATAACCATTTAGGGGGTGTTTGGCAAAAAAAGGTTATTGCTTATTAGTTTATTAGCTTATAAGTTAATTAGTAAGTGTAGGGTAACTAATGAAAAAAATAACGTATTAGAGGTTTCCTATTGGAATAAGTTATTTGAATCCAAACATTTTTTCAACTTATAGTGATGTGGAACCTAATAAGTTGTTTTAAAAAAGCTTAGCAAAATACCCCCTTAATATGGTATGGTAATACTCTTGAAAAATAGATGTCATTTAATATTCATTTCTCGAAGTGAACGCAAAATGATTTTAACTCTAAAGAGATCAAATTATTTGCCGCCCGCCGCTTTGCGCGGGTAGACGGTTAGTGTGTGTGTGTGTGTGTGTGTATATATATATATATATAAATTTTATAAACTTAAATATATACCTAAATATTTAATTTAATCATATTTAATATATTAAAAATACACTATTTTTTTTTATTGATTTTTTGTTATTAAAAAAATAATTAACTTATAACATTACAATAGTACACTTCTCTTATATTGTTATTCTCGACCTATTACTTAATGAATCGTTACAAAAAAGAGATTAGTTGGATGAATACCGTCTAAAAATGGAGTAAATTATACGAATGGTCCCTATGGTTTGAGGGTAATTTGCGTGCTTGGTCCCTAACTTATTTATTTACCTCGAAAAGTCCCTATTTTTTGTTTTTGTTACGTGTTTGGTACTTACTGTTTGTTTTTGTTACGCGTTTGATCCCTGTCTTACCTAAAAAGATTATTATTTAAATAGGAAAAATTATGGAGTAAATAAGGTAAAGTGAGTAGGGTGGGGTGAAGTGGGGTTCGAGGTGTGTTTATTTAAATAAATTAAAAAATCAATGGCAAAATAGTTTTTTTAGGTAAGACAGAGACCAAGCGCGTAACAAAAATAAACAGTAGGAACCTTCTGAGTTAAAAAAATAAACAGTAGGAACCAAATACGCAAATTACCCTAAATCATAGGGACCATTCGTGTAATTTACTCTAAAAAATGTTAAATAAGAATATATCTTTATATAATGCACAGATGCAATTAACTCTCGATCGCAAAATATGGTAAGCAATAAATACAATTATTACAGATCATTTTCAGTCGAAGTATATAGGGAAATAAATTTTTTTATAAACGAAGTACACATATTATTTATTATAACTTAATATTTTCAATATTATTAGTACGTGATGTGTCATGAGCATCAAACTTTTTGCGACAAAATATTTTGATTTGGAAAATCAGTTTTTATCTTTTTATTTTGAAAACTAAATAAAATGAGCCAAACTGAATTATCATGTAAAACATGGATAGAAATAACATGAAATTAATTATTTTTCTTTCTTTTCGAATAAATAAAATATAATACATAGTGCTGACTTTTTTTCACATAACAAACATTGTCCAAGACGTGATGTTCATCCACTTTTTTATTAATGTCCGCTAAAATCTTAAATTTTCACATGTCTTCTCTTTCTGCAACTCTTTCTTGACTTCTTGTTTTCTTCTTCCTCTGTTATATAAGCACACAAACTCATCCTCGTTTCCGATTTATCCCCGTGATCTCACCGTTTTTTCGCCCTAATTCCCGCTTCGATTTACACTTTCGATGTCATTTTCTGTGTTGAATTTTGGGGTTTTTGATTAGCTTTCAATCCTCGCGACTCTTTGCCGGATTTTGTTTTTCTATCGGGGGTGTCTTGGAGTGAAAGGTGGGTTTGAAAACGTCGATCTTCTAATCCATTTATTGCAGAGAGTTTCGCCGGAGTCCGCAGTTTCCGGTGACATTCGGTCACCGACAATAGCGGGTTTTCTCGATTTGACAAGATTCTGTTGTTTTAGTCAAGAGAAACAGTAATTTGACGAGAAAATTACATTAAATATAGAAATTCTTACCATTTTCCTCCTTTAAATTATACTTGTTCGAATCAAGATATTAATCTCTCTCTCTCTCTCTCTCTCTCTCTCTCTCTCTCTCTCTCAAAACAGGGGAAATCCCGAAAACATCTCTTCTTCTTCGATTTCATTTTCATTCCCTTGTTGGTAATCGTCGTTTTTTCCCTGTCTTCTTTGTAAGGAGGGATTCGTCTGTTTTTTACAGGGTAGGAGAGAGAAACATAAAACCTCTAGAAATCTCTCATCCGCCCTTCCTTTCTCTCTCTAGAAATGGTTTCAGAGAAAAGATCCAACCTTGAATGTTTCCTGGATTCCACAACCCCTGTTGTTTCATCCCAATTCCTCTCCAAGGTACGTCTCTCTTCGTCAATCCATTAAAAAAACCAAATTCGTTTTTACTTATTCGCTCTTGTGTTTGATTTGTAGAGTGAGATTAGGAACCTTAATAAGCTATGGCATCCATGGGAAAGGGAGAGAGTTGAATTCTTCACGTTGGGAGATCTTTGGAATTGTTTCGATGAATGGAGTGCCTATGGCGCCGGAGTTCCGATCAACGTCGACGACGCCGGAGATGAAACTATTGTTCAGTATTATGTTCCTTACCTCTCCGCCATTCAAATCTTTACAAGCAATTCATCTTTGAACTGTCAAAGGTATTTCTTTCATACAACGAAACTTTCTTCAAACATCATGATCAATAATTACTTGTAAACATAATTTTTTACAGGGAAGAAACAGATTCCGAAACCAGGGATTCATTTAGCGATTCGTTGAGTGAGGAAAGCGAGAGCGAGAAGGTGTCAAGGTGGGATGGATGTTCTTCCGATGAATGTGTTTTTGATCAAGAAACATCTTCTCATTTGAACGATCGATTGGGTCATCTTTACTTTCAATACTTCGATAGATCAACTCCTTACGGAAGAGTCCCTCTCATGGACAAGGTATTCATTTGTTTCTCTTTTGGGTATAAATTATTTACCCTGCGAAACCACCAATCAATGTGTAAAAAGGTAAAAAAAATCTATTCAAAATGGGGAAAATGATAGGATCTTTACCATTTTTGTGTTCTGTTTTTGGACTTGTTGTCAAGTAAATGACTATTTTGTCCTTGCGTGCATGATGCCAAGTAAGATTGAAGAGAACCATAGTTTGCTACTTTGGGACGCACACTGTTTTGTTTTGACGCGTTGCTTGTAGTGGTTGATGAAGACATGAAGTGCTAGAGAGTTCCCGTGGATTGTATTTTATAAAACACCCCCTCTAATATGTTGAGAGTTACATTTAACCATCTTTTAAAATTCTTTTTGCAAAACAGGTATGTGCGTTATCTAAAAGATACCCTGGATTGATGTCGCTGAGGAGTGTTGATCTTTCACCAGCTACTTGGATGGCCGTTGCTTGGTATATTTTGTCTCTTATACTATTTTTGTGAAAACACTAAAAAATCCATAACAATATAGTTTTTGTATACACTCAAAGATATATATATTTTTTAATTTTCTCTACTAGTTGATGTTATTTTTGTTAAACAACAATTATTGGATTTTGTTTTGTTTTGTTTTTTTATGTTTAACTTATTCGTAATTAACTTAGCTTGTTCGATGTTTTTGTATTTTTAGTATATTATTGGTTCGTTTTCATTTTTATTAGCAATGATTTTTTTTTTTTTTTTTTTTTTTTTTTATATATATATAATACCTTTCAATTCATTAGATTAATAATTAAAACAAAAAGTTTTATATAGGTGTAACATGTAACGGACGCTGAAAAATACAGATCACCTCTGTAAATTTGTTACTTATAATAGAAAATTTAATTTGGCTTTTTAATATAGGTACCCAATATATCATATTCCTATGGGGAGAACGATCAAAGACTTGTCAACATGTTTCTTGACATACCATACCTTATCTTCATCGTTTCAAGGTACACATATTGATTGGGTTATTAGTTATAAAAACTTTAGGTTCTCATAAACAGTATATATTAACATGGATATATATGGATGTAGATCTTGATGAAAATGGATTGTCAAAGAGAAAGAGAAAGGAAGGAATCTGTGTTCCAGCATTTGGATTAGCGACCTACAAGATGCAAGGTGACGTCTGGATTTCAAGTAAACAGGATCAAGAAAAAGTTGTTTCATTTGTGAGTGTTGCTGATTCATGGTTAAGACAGTTGGGTGTCCAACACCATGATTTTAATCATTTTATGGGGAATCGCCGTGGTTGAAGAGACGTTATTGTGGGCTTTTTGGCTTTGTTTAATGGGATTTTGCCATTTGGATCAATTTTCTTTTTGCCTTTAGCGGCTAACCCCGTCGTTATCCTATGGGTTTCTGAGAACTTTTGAGGAGAGAGAGGAGGATTGTGTATATTGAGGAATCCGATGAGCTTCCGGAGGTTTTATGTTGTTTAATGTTTTGAAACCTATATGCTCCGAATTTTAAACCCGATCTTTTTGGTTATCGTGTTATTTTGACAAGAGTAATTGTTTGGTTTATAGTTTTTTTATACACAAAATACAATTTTAATAAATGTTAGTAAAAAAAATATGAAAAAGGTAAAAATTTGAGATACCCTAAGTTATATAATAGATACTTGATATTGAATTAAAATAATTTTAGGTAACTAAGTAAAAAGTTCATTACACGATGAGATCATGGTGATACATGTTGAAATAGATGAGTTTGATTAGGGGCTATAGTCTTCTTATTTGAGTTTCATGTTTGAAGACTCGTTTATCATAAAGAAAAAACTTAGGTCAGTTGCAAACCAATGGTGTGTCCATGGATCTTGCTCCACCGCCCACGTTAAAGATGTCTTGTACGAGAAAGTGTATAAGGATTTCAGAGAGAAGATAAAGTGAATTGTTACTTGGTAATACTTTCTATGGAAGATATATTTATAGCATTTGAGCGGGACAGTGTTTGTTACCTTGTACTATTTATGTCCCTTGATCGTTTTGCAGATGATCGTGAGTGCCGTATAATCCATACCATAAGTAGTCAAGATGCTATTGGTGCCTCAATATTACTTTGGGCTCAAGTATGCCTTCAATTGGTTCAACCTTGTTATAGCTATTTGCTCATTCCTAATTGGCTTGGTTATGAATATAGGTTGGTTAGACTGATGCACATGCATTGGTCTTATTAGGGTGAAGTTCAATAGAGAATTGTAATTAACCAAGGAATCAATTTTTTTTCCAACTTGTAGAATTTATTTTTTATCCAAAAAAAAAACTAGAAATACAGAAATACATAACCTTTTATCCTTTTTCCAATTATATGAAATTCGATAAAAAAAATTCGTCAAATTCACAATGTGAATCTAAATTGACAAGGTGAATCTGAAAAATATATTTAGCATTCACAATGTTAAGTTATGAATTTAGATATTCTTAGTTTGTTTTCGATAAAGAATAAGCTCTAGAACTTGAAAACAAATTGGTTCTTTGGAGAACCAATAATTATGGTTCTCTATTAAACTTTTCCACGTGTGTGTGTGTGTGTGTGTCTATATATATATATATATATATATATATATATATATATATATATATATATATAGTTAGATGAATACCATTTCCTTGTAGCTTGTAGATCTTGACTTTCAAGAGCTTAGTACCTCAATTGTTGCATCTCTAGTGAGTCACAAACACCAAGTAGCAATTGGAAGAATATAAGAGAGGTTGAGAGGCTCTAAAATTCTGCTAGGGTTCTTTATGAAACATAGGTGCTGATTTTGGGAGCCTTAGAGTTCCTTTTATAGCTGAGCTGCTAGGGTTTCTGATTGGAACTCTAATTCTCTGCTTAAGCCTTAAGCAACCCAGTAGATCCTTCCAGAAGCCCCTTTTGGACAAATTCTATGTGGGTTACACATAGAATTTCGTCCACCCCCTTCCTAGCGATCCATAAGCCCAACTTGCATCTATCATATAATTGCAATATCAGTCCATGCAATTTAATCGGTCTCTTTTGATCACCAAATTAATTTCTGATCAATACTAATTAAATAATATGATTTTCTCAATTAATATATTATTCTTATAATATATTAATAAATCACAATTAACCTCTTTCTTCATAATTCATCCTATCAAATTGTTATGGTAAAGGCAACCCAAAAGGACTATCCTACTATCGGGTCAAGTACATCCCAATTATAGTTATGGGCTTAGACACCTAATCCAACAGTCTCCCACTTGGATAAGTCTAATAACTATAATTGGATGAGTCTAAGAACTATAACTGCCAAAGCCACTTCAAAATCTGATTAGCAATCGTAGCTTTCAAAAGTCGTTGTCGAACTCTGACCAAGTCAATGACGCGTCCTTTAGATAAAGGATCATATAATCCTCCGTTCCGGAAGATATCATGTGGACAAAGACATGGAACAGAATCATTCTCGTTATCCAACAGTTTGTTTCCCTATTTCTAATTTGTCTGACATATAACTTAATTGAACACATCAATTCAATCTTGATCGGGCTCGGCACATAAGTCAACACAAAATCATCAAGGGGCCCAAGATATTGATGGGTTTTAGCCATAAGAACATCCAATGTGCTCATACAAACCCTAATGCTTGGATCTAGGTTTCTCTATTGTACATGCAATTCATCCAAGACTATAAACCCTAGATCTAGCATATGATAATCAATATAACATATAAATTAGGGTTTAGATCATACCTTGATTGTTATGTAGCAATAACAATCTCAAATCCTTCTTGTATTGACTTTAGAAAGCTTAGAGTCACAAATGTCACTCCTCTAATGGTTCACAAACACCAAGAGCAAGAGGATGAAGAAGAGAAGAGAAGGAGACACTAAAAAACATGCAGAAACCCTAAGGATCCAGTTACCTACGTTTTTGGTGCCCAAGGGGTCCATAAATAGTGAGGCTATTAGGGTTATCTAACAAGGAAACCCTAATTTGGATGCTTAGGCCCTAAGGAACCCATGAACCCCTTACTTAAAGGCCTTTGTACGATTTCTAATGGATTTCCCTATAGAATTCGTCCACCCCCTTTAATATGGAGTCCATTACCTCAATATTCAATTATTATACAATTAACAGTTCAAGTCCCTTAAGTTTAACTAATGTCTTTTAGCAACAAACTTAATTCTTATTAATTCTTGACTAACATTAATTAAACAATATGATTTCTCCTTTAATATATTATTCTCATAATATATTAATAAATCATATTTAATCATTTCTCTCCATAATTCATCCTATCAAGTTGCTTTGGTGAAGGCAACCCAAAAGGACCATGCACCATCGGGTCAAGTACATACCAAAATAGTTATGGACTTAGACACTAATCCAACAGTCTCCCACTTGGATAAGTCTAATAACTATTTCGCGTATGACTTCAGATCCTGATCTACAATCGTAGCTTTCCAAAGCCGTTGTCAACTCTGATCTTATCAGATACACGTCTCCTTAAGATAAGGGGTCATATATTCCTCCATTCTAGATATCGTATAGACTGAGACATGGATTTAAATCATTCTCTTTGTCTATGTGCTGTTTCCCGAATTCTGATTTATGACGACTGATAATAGACTGCAATTGAACACATCAATTTAGTCCAGGCTTGGCCAAGCGCTTAGGTGCCATCACTAAATCATCGAGGGGCCCACAAATATCGCTTTTATCCTACTTTGAATAAAAATAATGGATAAAATTTGACTCAATGCTCGCTTGCACTCACTCACCAAATGACATACAATAATATGTTTTATAACACCAAGCTACTAGTGCGTTTACTTATTATCAATGTGTAACCAACTCGCAAGATACAACTCACACATCTCGGTTTCAAGAATATAAGATGTTATCGTCTCACCAATCACTCGTGATAAAAATCCATGAAGTGATCCAAGTGAGCGTGGGTTTAATCCAATGCTCAAATCATATTCATAAGCACTCATGAACGTTGCAGTAAACATTTGCTTATGTCTAATACTCTTTAGACAATCCACACACCAATTCACGATAGTCTTTAATCATACCTACTTCCAACATATGAACGATTGTGGTTCGTTCGAATAATTTGATTGTTCTTAACCAATTAAATTATTCAGGAAGTCAAAACATGCAAAGTGAAATACAAGAATAATACTAATCCCATATGGCCTCAACCTTTGAGTATAAATAAAACACCTTTTATTTATCACCATATTGATTACTCATTATTTGTCGTTTCGGGTAATCAACTTCTTACTTGAATTATTACTACACTTGCCCCATGTTCTTAGCATGCACACAATGTTTACCTATGGTTCTTTCTTTGTGAAATAGATCAAATGAACACACTTCCAATCATACTCATTTCACAACTCCCAATCCATATCACAAGTGTAAGAATATCAAATTCTTGCCACTTATAGAATATGTCAGATTCTAATATTTTACACAATGATCCTTTTGTAATGGCACTGCACTAATGTCACAATGACTATTGCCAATGAAATTACAAAGTTCTCTATGATTGTTACAATACAATTATATATACGTGATGTCTCTCACTCAAAGTACATTTCTTTGAATATCCTTTTGCATAAAATTTCTAATCTAGACATAGATTTTCAATATCTAACTCCCAATATGGAAACGTTTCCATATTTTCCATATGACAATTCATTCTTAATAGAATCTTATCTATTCATAATAATTTCGATATGGTCCATCCAATATCATACTTCCAACTACTCACAAACGACCAATCCTCGGTGAACTTTGGATTGTCCTTTGATAGTTGTTTAATTGTCTTAGTCAAAACCGATTCTTGTCCTTTTCCCTCTAAATGTCCTGGACATTTGGAAAATTTAGAATGGTCAAATATTATAGCATTTACAATCAGTCCTATACCCGAAGCATATGGGACACAATGCATAATGTCTTACAAGGAGATTTGATACTTTATCTATCTTCTGCCATAATATTTTATGTGCTAGGTTCTCATAATTCGAACTTTATGAAGAGGAATGTCATAATCCTAGTCGAAATTTAAGAACACACTCTGTATCTTTGACTAAATTTATTAACATTTCACAACCTAAACCTTTAGATTTGAAACGAAGCATAATATTCTCTCCCTTAATTATAGCAAAACAACTTTACATCCTTACTACTTTGCAAAGTATTACTCTTGTTTTCTATAATTAATACTGCTAACTTGCAATACTT